ATATGTAGATATGTACTGCGCAGGTAGGTTAAGGTTACAACCAAATATTCTACTTGCCTTTATGATATGACGTCATAGTAAGTTATATGACGTGAAGTTAAGAGATAATAATTTCTTATAATCGATATCTAAGATTGATTTGAGGTCATAAAAATTGATCAAAATATGCAGAGGCATAATACAAACAGAATTTTGTCGTTTCTGGGTCTCTGTAGTTATCACAGTGGTTAAATACCAAACCAGTGAAGTCATACCTGGTGATCATGCAGTAGCAGAGTGAAAGTGAAACGTAACGAGAATTCAGGTAAACAAACACAAGAAATCGGAGTTTAAAAGCATTTAGAATGAATATCATGTGTGATTCATGTGGGAATAAAGCTTATGATTAAGGTATGGTAATATACTTGAACGATTTCTTCGAAAAATTAAAGCAGGGAGGGTGTTTACTTGCCGATCAGCCTTTCCTCTGTCGTTCGTAACAAATAAGAAGCAAAAGTTCAACACTACGCCGCACAATTTGAAGCTTAATTTTTGTTTCTATCTAAAGTTCTTATTCTATCGTTTTTGGAAAGTGCTGCTAGAATCGTATGGTTTACGGGAATGAATGCATTTTTTACGATGTTATGAACAAAATGTAAAAATTTTGGGAAGGTTTCGTCAGAAAGTGTAGAATAATTATTTCTTTGATAGGACAGTTGGATTCTAGCAGCACTTTTCATGGTACAGAGATGTCTTTACATGATTATTATTACAAATTGAAATTAATTATCCCCCGGGTAGTGTTGAACTTTTCACTTTTTCATTAAGGAATATTTTCTAATTATAGACGTCACGTGGTGACGTCGTGGTAAAGTGCATCATGTAGTATAAGTCCCATTGAAGTCTATAGAATGCATAATTATAACAAAAGTCTTATGCTTGACTTTTCCGATTGATTAGTGTCACATAATTATAAAAAAGTCTTAATTCGCCGAATTCTGGTCCATATGCTGCCTTAACATACCCGCGTGGTGGTATATCTCGGGTTTTCGGGACATTTCCTTTTCTCAATGAGCGAGCTTTAGAGGATCGCCATATCATGTTCGAATAAATAAGAATGACACGTTTGGTTTTGATAAAAGTCAACATTTATACAAAATATTATAGATTCTATTTTGACAGTGGCTTCATTTTGAGCTTTGGGGTCCTCGTTCACACCTTTCCAGCAATGTCACATTGGCATCAATAAGCTAGTTGGATGGAAAAAAAAATCATCAAGGATCATAGTCTGAACTTGGTACAGCCAAGGCCAATTTTGGGTACATTTCAATGGTAATCCCCTAACTAATAATGCATTATTCGGGTGATGACATACCCCATTTCCTGTCACCCGTGGCTAGTAAATGTAAGGGATGTGCAAGTTAATTGTAGCAACCAGTTGTCTGTGGGAATAAAATCAATATGTAAGACAGATTTAAAGCTGGGCATAGGGGCTTGCATTATCTACTCAGTATTTGTCTTCCACCTTTTATAATTAGCGTATGGTATTGCAAGTCAAATTCAGGAAGAGCAAATTTATTTTGACTATTGAACAAATGCTGTTTTAGATCCCATTCTTTTCAGCAGCAGTATTATAGGTCATTCCTGAACAAATTATCAAACAAAAGACCAATAGCAGGTATCCATAGATTGTGTGTAGTCTTGGATATTTTGATATGGCATTCATAGGATACGGAGATACCCAACGTGAGACCATTTGTCCGTCAGGGAAAAAAGCCCTCAATTTGATTTTAAAAAAAAATTATAAAAAAGGGGAATTTAATTGATTCTTTGTTTTAGAATAAATTGCACTTGGATTGTACATGTACATGTTGGTTTCAATGATCCGGGCATCTCGCCTGGATCATTATGGTTTCAAAGTATTGAAATGCCAGCTTTTCCAGCAAGTTATTAGTCCGAATTTAATTAATTGCTCTGATAGAGGTTTAATCAAAAACGAGCCTTGATTATATGGAGCCCTAGCTTACAAGTGTCTCTTATACAGGTATATTTATAAAATTTGATATTTAAAGGTCAGGTGGGTGAAATGCTGAACTAAAACTTTCATACATACACCTTACGCGTTATTGGCGGGTGAACTTGTATAGACAAGTTCATTTGGCGGAGTTCGGGGATTACCACGAATGATGATTTCTACCATGTCTAGCTCAAAACTCTGGGTAATCTATCCTCAATACTGGGGAAGATTTTGGGGTTACCTCACCGTGCCTGAGGGACCGGCTTGATCCTTGAGGTACCAAGGGCAGGTTTTGGGGGTCTACAGTACCCAGCTACCCCTGGGGGTGTTATCCCCATGTTGTTGTTGTATTCCAGGGGAGACAAGTATAGAGTGAGGACCTGGGTCAGAACTTGAATTCATTCATTCCATGTGGCATTCACTCTTCGGTTCCAAGAGGTCTGTTACCACCACAGTCACCTGTGGGTGCGATATCGCGCCAAGTCAGTCGGCAGGTAGTGAGTCCCTGGATTCCGCCGGGGTATTTACATCTATGTATAAATAGATTGTGACAAATACTTGCCACAAAATGTAATCATTGTTTTACAATAAATGTGATTAAAATTAATATTTGTTTCTATTCATTGCATCTGGAATTAATTGCATTTATCACCATATTTTGATAAATGCATTTAATACCAGTGCAAGGGCGATAACTCGTGCGTTCTAATTGTAGTAGTTAAACATTATCGAGACTATGGGTTTTAAATAGATGACGTAATATTATCAAGCACCTTATGACGCTGATTGTCATAATCTACCGAAAAAGCTAGAAGGGTAAACATGTTGCAAAATTTCACCCACCCACCCTTCCCTAAAATTTGTGTACATGATTTTGCTGTTTTCTCTTCTGTAATTTCAGTGACAGAAGCATATTCCTAAATGGAAAGTGTTGTGTAGGTGGAACACCCAAGCGGTTGAAATCGGAATCAAAGGAAGGATGTGGTCATTATGTATATGGTGGGACCATTTGGTGTTCATCGGACATTTTCTGTTGTAACAAATGATTAAATACTGAGTTTTTTTTTTTTGGACATTTCTAAGGTGTGATACATAATCAGTAAGTCGGTGTCATTGGTGATAGTTGATGATTCTGTGTTATGTACAGTGTTACTGTACAGTGTTATTTTTTTTTCTCAAAGTATCGCAAGCAACATAGCTTGTATACATATTATGCTGGGATTATGGAAACGTTCTTTAAGTCACAATCTGGGTTGGGGGCGGCGGAGTTCGGGGATTACCACTAATGATGATTTCTACCATGTCTGGCTCAAAACTCTGGGTAATCTATCCTCAATACTGGGGAAGATTTGGGGGCTACCTCACCGTGCCTGAGGGACCGGCTTGATCCTTGAGGTACCAAGGGCAGGTTTTGGGGGTCTACAGTACCCAGCTACCCCTGGGGGTGTTATCCCCATGTTGTTGTTGTATTCCAGGGGAGACAAGTATAGAGTGAGGACCTGGGTCAGAACTTGAATTCATTCATTCCATGTGGCATTCACTCTTCGGTTCCAAGAGGTCTGTTCCCACCACAGTCACCTGTGGGTGCGATATCGCGCCAAGTCAGTCGGCAGGTAGTGAGTCCCTGGATTCCGCCGGGGTATTTATATCTTTGTATAAATAGATTGTGACAAATACTTGTCACAAAATGTAATCGTTGTTTTACAATAAATGTGATTAAAATTAATATTTGTTTTTATTCATTGCATCTGGAATTAATCGTCATAAAAGAATAAAAAAGCACATAAATATACGTAGAATATTTTGCAGTAGAATTTACATAAAACGAGAATTTTTATTCAGTACGATAACAGTCAATGTCAACAGATAATTGTGAATTTAAAAAAAAATCCGTTATTGTACTCAGAATCGCTTTGGCACGGAAATACATGTACGGTTGTTTCAACCCCGTACCATGTAATAAAATCATTCTATAAGTACCATGTAATAAAATCATTCTATAAGTAGCAGTTTTATCTTCAGAAGTCCACATTATCTTATCAGTGAAAAGAATAAGCATAATTATTTACTATATAAGTAGATTAATTTATTTTTTAAGTACACGCGGTAACAAATACACGTTTGACGGCGATTAAAATCATGTTATTAAAGTATCGATTTAATCATAGGTATGTGCAGAAAAAAATGTTTTTATTTATTTATTTATTTATATATCTATTTTTTATATCAGTAGTAGTTTTATCTTCTAAATTCCACATTATTTTATTAGTTAAAAGAATAAGCAAATTATTTACTGTATAAGATTAATTTATTTTTTAACTACACGCGGTAACAAAAACACGTTTGATGGCGATTAAAATCATGTTATTAAAATATCGATTTAAACATACGTATGTGTAGAATTTTTTGTTTTATTATTTATTTATCTGTTTATTTCTCTTTTGTTTATCTATTGTGTATTTATATTTATTTATGACAGTTGAATTATAGAATAAAAGAATAATTTCAATACAAGGAAAAGACCGAAGGCAATCCGAATAGATGGTTCATCTTGCGTTCACCGTTCTTTTACCGTTCACTTTGCGCTCGCGTTCGCGCTCCGTTTGCCTTCTGCGTTCACTCACCGTTCACCGTTCACACATCGTTCACCAAGTTGCGTTCACCGTTCGCACATCGTTCACTCACCGTTCGCTCTGCGTTCGTTCAGCGTTCGTTCACCGTTCAGGTGGGAAAGTAGAACGTTTCAGGGACTGCATATAGACACTTCGTGGCCAGGTAATTTTAATGCCGAGTATGCCGAGCATAGGACTAACCTCATATGATAAAATAATAAGATAATATTATTAAGATATTGATTCCAACTACAAATAACATCGAGCTCTCTTAATGATGGCATATTCTAATGCAGCAAAATATATTTGTACAGTTTTAAAGTACAATTACATCCTCCAGTCTAAACTAAGAAAAAAGACGTCCACTCTGATGTAGCATGTATGCATATTACCTTCTGTGTAGCATTTTCACTGTGTGTGGCTACAATGATGACGGATGTGTCCTCAGCACAGTACGTGTGAATAGATTTCAGCCAAAATAAAACATACTCTGAAATAACAACACGAAATATAATTGTGAATGTTTTTAACTGAATGGGTTTCACAAATATTTTAAAATTAAAAAAAGGCATTTATTTAATTATTTAACTAAGATTTTCTGCACAACTCTCTGAACAAATTAAGTTAAGCTTATAAATTTTATTTATGCATTACTTTTAGCGCATGAAAGTTTTTTAATCACCTTCTGCTTCTATTGCCAAAGACAGAAGAACAAAAGAGGATATTCAAATAGAATAGTCCTTAATTGAACTGACTTTAAGCACAAGCGACATCTGCTATAAATTACATTTAAGAAATCATCAGTTCCGTGTCTGTATATTTTTCAAAGGATACAAATAACTGCTGTTTAATAATAAATGTTCTTAAAGAAAACACTGAGACAGAAAACCTTCCTTGCAATAGTCTTCGTTTACACCACCGGACAAAATAAAATAATGTATTTTTTTAATCATGATGAAAAGACCAGGGCATATCTTTACAAGGTGAATAATGAGTGAATAGAATTTCTGACAGAATTATGCAATAATCTCCGAGAACAGGTCCGGACAAAATCCAGTTTACAAACAGAGGAACAGCTAGAGGTACTGATTAACAGACGGATATGCTGATTCAAGTATATCCCCTTAAGGACGCGATTGCACGGCGTCACGTGATCACGTCATTTGGTGAATAAAAAAAGAATGTTTGCTGTAACTATTTCCGGAATGTTTGCGCTCATGACAAAAGGGGTTTATTTTCTAAAGTAGTGAAAGTATAAGATACCGTATAAGTGGAAATTTTAGCGAGACGCAAATTTAGCGATTTCACCTTAAAAATGGGTATTTAATTTTTAGCGAGAAGTAATTTTAGCGATTTTAAAATGCTCCTGCAAGAAGCTAGTACATATAGCACGCAATATATTTTTAGCGATATTCAATTTTAGCGATCTCAACAGCCTCGCTAATAATGCCAAAATTAAATCCTCGCTAAAATTTCTACTTATACGGTATTAAAGATTGTTACGATGCACTGAGAGTGTTCGTGAGCGTTGATCATACAGTGTATTTTTTATCTACGTGCATATTTTACGATTTAACACGTCTGTCTATTGTATATATCTCTGAACATTGAAATCTATTTCATTAAAAATAAATTTTATTTATATCTTGAGGTTTATATCTTCATTTAAAAATTAGAATTTTATTTAAGATTGTTGTTTATCATATGATCTACATCTATATATATATAGCTGATTTCCAATAAAAGATTCAGACGGCGTGATTTACTAGATACATGTATAAATATTGATGAACAAAGGCGATTTTGATAAACGTCTTACGGCAAAGACCACTTATGCCTAGAAGACATATCTCTAAAATAATATCGCAGAGGATTTTCTTTTCTCCTATAAGATCTGAAGCATTTTCAGCAGTGACATCGACCGTGTAAACATTCGATCATCGTCGCACATATATTGTAAACGATTGTTGTAAAATGTTTTATGCTTCGTATTGATACACAACACACTTCTTCTGAAAGAATACCAGGGAAGATATGTACATAAATAAATAAAAGAAACATGTGAACTCATCATGCTTATTGGATTACATTTGAAAAATGTTTTTTTTTTAATCATATGGGCATGAACATAGATGTTTCACTCTAGCATATATCATAAAGCGACGGAAAGTTATTTCAATCAATGATTATTTTTGAATCGAAACAGTAGATTTATAGTTTTGACGTCAATCGAGTAATTATGACGTCACAATGGAGATAGCGCTCATCCATGTACAGGAGAAAATGAAGTGTAATTTCTTGAATAGAATCGGAAGGAAAACTATTTGTAAATGTGAATATTTAGAATTACTATAATTTGTCTAATAAGATAATTTATTGTTGAATACATTTATTTGATAAAAAAAATATATAATGCAGTTACAAGTACAATGTAAAATAACGTCTTTTCATTCACTGTGTTCAAATGTCTGACCCCCCCCCCCCCCGATTCGAGGTCACTAAGAAGAAACATCGCTGAGTGTTCAAAGCACGAAGAATAAGGCCTTTGAGGACTGGTCACTGGTTTATAATATATTATTTATTTATACTGATATAGTAACAGAATGAATGTTTTGGCGATGAAAAACTGAGTTTGAAAAAAAGAAGTTATTTTCAAGACCACTGTTGGTGATAAGTAAATTATTGTGCTTAAAATGAACATCAGCTGCCAGATTTTCAGAGAAAAAGTATTTATTTATCTATACATATGGCCTTTATTGTCTTTAAACAGATTATGCATATTTAAGGTCCAACAACAAACCAACATACATGTATGAAAATCTGTGTAATCTTTTAATATTCTAGGAAGGGGGGGGGGGGGGGGTACTGAAATGCGTGTACCTTCAAAATTAATCTGATTACCTTACTTCATATTTTAACCATAAGTCACTTATAATGACTAGTAAAGCATATATTAGTTTTGGGAAAATTCATTGGGTAATTTTTTGTCTAGACGTTAAAAACTGCTTTTGAGATGAAAATATTACTGCAAATTTACAATTAATACTTCCCCAAAAAACAATGGCATTACTACATTTATCAATAGTTTCCGAAACAATTTTTAATTTCAATAAATATAAAGCATATTTTGAAATATCTGCAGGAAAATATTTAATTTACTTCAATTTTGTTGCATGTATGGCATTATAAAACATTCACCTCATAAATATCAAAAGATAAAAAAATGTTGGTTACCATGGCAACCATAACTTCCTTAGAAGCCTGATGACCATGCTTGATACTTTGATATAATGGTATCATTGACATTAGGAACGTTATATGTAAAAATGAGAAAAAATCATTGGGCAGAATTTTTTCACGACCCCTTGCAATCCTTTCCTTAACATAGTTTGCGAATGATTTAAAATCTAATTTCAAAACGGGATGTACAGAATAAAAAAAAAACTAGTGCTAATTGTAACGGGGACCGTTACAGATGTTCCCCAAACGCTCCCCAACTCCCTTTTGGTGCCATATTCCCTATAAGCTTCATTAAATAAGACAAACTGTATGCATTTGAGACTTTAACAACGTTTACCCAGAAGTGTACCAATTTCATTCAAATTTTAGCATTGCACGCGTGCGCATGTGAATGCACGTGCGTAATGACCATATAATCTTGTCTTCACAATTTATAGATTTTAATATACTAAATATCAAAGTATTTAATCCAAAAGTATTCAAAAAATACGCTAATTCAAGTGTATTTTTTATTTTACTCATTTCACGTGCTCACATGAGCATGTCGACCATACTTTCTTGTAGAAGTCCATTACATCTATCTATGTTCTAATTCCCACCCCGTTTGGTTGAAAACCAAGGGAGTTATAGCTGTTCAAAGTTTCAGCCAATCAGATTGCAGTGCACGTACATGCACGTGTATGCATGTGCATGATGGCCATATCTTCTTGTAGAAGTCCATTATCTATCGATGTTCCAAATCCCATCCTGTTTGGTTGAAAACCAAGGGAGTTATAGCTATTTAAAGCATAAGCCAATCAGACTGCAGCGCACGTGCATGCACGCGTTTTCATGATAATTGCTATATATTTCATTGTAGGATATCCTAATGCATGACTATGTTTTAAATTTCAAAGCATTTCGTCAAAAAACAAAGGAGATATAGCCATTTAAAGTTTCAGCCAATCAGAGCGAAGCACACGTACATGCGCGTGAGATCTCGCTATTTTGACCATGTCACCATGTCTGTACTAATAATATATCCTCACATTATCAGTTTCAAAGCATTTCATAAAAAAGTAGAAAAATTACGGCAATATCTATCATATTGGTCATTTCACGTGTTGCACGTGAGCGCTCTTGCAAGCATGTGCGCACAAAATGACCTTGACTAGGCAAATCTACATAACATGTCTACTGACCCTGAAAAAGGTTTTACCTACATCGGATGAACAGTTTACAAGATCATTCCCGAACAAAAAAGTACCCAGGAAGAAGAAGAAGAAAAATAATAATAACTAGGGCTAATTGTAACGGGAACCGTTACAGATGTTCCCCAAACGCTCCCCAACTCCCTTTTTGGTGCCATACTCCCTTTAAGCTTCATTAAAAACGACAAACTCTATGCATTGTACACTTTAACAACATTTCCCTGAAGTATACCGAGTATATTCAAATTTTAGCATTTGCACGCGTGCACATGTCAATGCATGTGCGTAATGACCATATTCTCTTGTCTACACTATCTATATATACATTAATATATAAAATAATAAAGTATTTAATCCAAAAGTATTAAAAAATACGCTTCATCAAGTGTATTTTTTATTTTACCCATCTCACGTGCATGCACGTGCATGCATGTGCATGATGACCTTACCATTTTGTAGGTATCTACTATGTATATCTATGTTCTAAGTCCCATCCTGTTTGGTTGAAAATCAAAGGAGTTATACCCATTTAAAGTTTAAGCCAATCAGATTGCAGCGCACGTGCATGCGCGTGTTTTCATGATACCTGCTATATATTATATTGTAGTATATCCTAATGCATGACTATGTTTAAAATTTCAAAGCATTTCGTCAAAAAAACAAAAGAGATATTGAAATCTTTGTTTCAGTCAATCAGAGGGAAGCGCACGTGCATGCACGTGAGTTCGTGCTAATTTGACCATGTCATATTATCTAGACTATTAATATATCCTTAAAGAATGAGTTTCAAAGCATTTCAATAAAAAATATAAAAGTTATGGCTATAATAAGTATATCAGTCATTTCACTCATTTCACGCGCACGCACGTGCATGCGTATGCGCGCAAAATGACCTTCGTTGTGCACACCTACACTTGACACCTATTAACCCTAAAAAGGTTTTAACTTTGGGTGAACAGTTTCTGAGAACACTCGCGGACAAAAAAAGTACCGGAGAACAAAGAAGAAAAAAGAATAATAATAATAACTAGATGCCATCTCGTTGCGAGCAACGAGTAGGTCTTCCGTCCGATTTTTCGACAGGATATGATTTTGATGATGATCTTTCTTAGATCATAATGATATCAAGACTTCTCTCTTTTGATTAAATTCTTTACTTTTTATAAAATTATTACATACATGTAGTTATGGATGAAAGTCTTTTGCCTCCTAAGAGCCCCTTATTGAGGGGTCAGGACCATACATCCTATCCAATCAAGAGGATTTAATTTTAATGTTTTTTTTTCAACAGCTATCCAGATATTTCTTTTCGTTTTCGATCTATGTAGGATAGAAAAATTTAG